CATGCTTTACGCTTGCAGTCCAAAAAGTAGTGGAAAAAGCACTTTTGTCGATTACTGCAAAAAACTTCAAAAACAGTACCTTTCATTTCTGTCATAGAATGGCACCAACTTGATAACCGCAAGCCTAGCAACTCTTGGAAGGGCATCAACAGGGAGAGTGCACTTTACAATTCAGTTCACCACAATGCTTCTCTTCAGTGGATCCAACAAACTGAAGTCCTTCAAACGAATGATGCATTTAAGGGATGTTTGACGATTAACACCAACACGCTCCAATTAAATCATCAGTGGAAACTTTTTCTTTACTTCCTTGAAAATACCACAACGGTGTTGAAAAATTCTCTCCGCTTGGATAAAAAAGGGTTGAAGAGCCGGTTCATCTTTCACTCGAAGGCACCAGTATGAATGCCGTGTCAATTGGAGGGGGAGAGAAGAGTTGCATGATAATCGAGGTATGTCAACCGGAGGGTCAGGAAACAATTCGCACGCATGGTGTAAGAAAAACAAAAAAAAGTGAAATGAATAAGCACTCAGAATATGGATGCTTCTTCCCAACCGCCTTCTTTATAGCATCCACTTGAATAAAGATTGTAAAACATAAAAAATTGCAAGATCCCTTGCTGTGGCAACGCAATGCGACGAATTTCCGCCCTCAAAAGGCACGGAATTGATGAAATTGCTAAAGAAGGAAAGCAATCGGCGAATCAGAAGCATTAGACGACAGAAATTCGCAAACCGAAGTAAAAAAAAATAACGTTTTGATGCTCTTGATGGAAAATCCTCCATTACTAAAAAGAGAGACACGAAAAAATGAGCCCTCAAAGTCTCGTTCTGTTCATTCCAGATTACGACATTCGCAAATGTAAAAACGACGAAGTTTGAGGCAAATCTCCCTTCCAAAGGCGAATAAATGAAAGGTGAATAATAGCAGCTCGAAGATATTGGAGAAATGCCGTCCTTGATAAAGCCTCGTGAGTCCAACAGAGATAATCTTTGATTCTGTCTCCGAAAATCCAGAAATAATCAAAGTGGAAGTGGTGGTAAGAAAAAATGAAGGGATCCACATCCCAAAGAGGTTCTCGGAAGACACTTCCAACAAATCAGATTGGCAGTGTTCAAGAGGTGAAGAAACTTTTGGAGAATTTACAAGGCATCTCACAAAAAGGACCAACAGAGAAATCAGGATGACGCAGTTGAACACTACAGAGCGATGCCAATTAGACTGCATTTTGTGATCTCGGTCGCTGAATCGGCGCCATCACCAGAGCTGAATCACCGTCACTAAATCCGCGCCATCAACTTTGGCACAAATAGTCATGAAGAAATTTCATTCGCTGACCAATTCAATCCAAATTTTGTAGAACATCACATTACTTCGGCGGGGAAAAGCACATTGCTGGAAGAATAACGAAAGCCACCATTAAGCCGTTGATTTCGCCACTCCGTTCTGAACTTGACAAAACTTTCTGGTAAACTTTTGCAAGAAACAGTTTTAGGGGAGATAGAACGAAAAAACGACAACAAAGAATACAAACTTGAACCCAGTCTCCCAGTAATGAAACAGCAAATGTCAACCCATCACCCGCGAAGTGAGCGTTAGCGCTCTAACACAAACAGACGATGGTGGACTACCTAATGGGCAAACAATGTCAGTTAACAAAAGAGCCAGTGTGCACCTACTCAAGTTCGCAAACTTTCACCGACTTAAAAAAATTTATCATCAAGCTACTGGACCGGCGTGGGAGGGAAACCACCTGACAAGAAATCCAATGGCCTTCCATAACTCGTGTCAAAACCGTTAGAAGTGCCGAAGAATGAACCGGAATCGGACAGACTAAAACATGGATGTCTGATAACTAAAAAGTGGGCGGCGACATAACTGAGGACCGTCTCGATGGATTATTTAATATGGACCGCCTTGAACACCTTGGCACAATCCACTTACAAGTAGAAAACTTCGTGATTAAGAAAGTCCAGTCTTTTCAAAATAATTCTCTGACAAGAGGGGACAAAACATGAGTAAGGAAAAAGGCAAAGAATGAAATAGTAAACTTGCAGGGTGCAAAACAAGCATAGTAATCAATCAGTACAACAACATTTACAACCAGTTAAAGTTTTAGTTCAAAAATCTTCAGGAGGCAGTAACTTCCGGAAGAGACAAAGCATTTTGAAGCCACTCGAGACAATCGATTGTTCCCTCGAGCCCGATGAAATGAATCATTCCAGGGAGCCAACAGTGGAAGCTGTTCCCAAAGAACACAGAATTGTAGCATTCAATCCCTTGACACTTCTGGATGCCATCGAGGGGAGCAGAAAAGACTTCACACTTCTGAAGATACTCCAGACACGGCCGATTTCATCCAAGGGAACAAGGCTGCGGTTGAAGGAGGCCTGTACAAGAGAGCCTATGCAGGAGACTTGCCAAAACCAAATGCAACTACTTTACTTTGCCATACGTCACGCATCAAGCTAGACCAAAAGCAGCCTGAAAAAATCCCAACGCAAATGACGACCTTGAAGCACCGTTGCCATGGCATTAATAAACAACGCAATGCTTTCGATGGTAGGAAAATGCACACGCAACGACAGCATAGAGGAGAATTCCTAACCTGTAAACCGACTCTAAGGCGCGTTGATGACTACCAGCCGACGCCGGTGTTTCAGCGACGCTACCAACAGACCACCCACAACAGGAACAGATTGACCTCAACCACAACGCCAAATTCCTCGAACTATGACAATTTTATGGTTACTACGCGGTGCAGCACAATGCCAGTGAATCAAGGAGCATCTTAACCAACAACGGATTAAAATGCTACGGTTCAACAGATGACCAGTCTGAAGGCATGCCGATGTTCGTTAAAGGTTCAACAGAACTGAATTAAACAAATGGCAAAGCTCTGGTACGCAAGGACCCGAATACCGACGGCAGTAACCACTACAGCATTGATGAAGTCAAAAACCCTCCATGTTTCATAACTTGCCGACACTGCTCTCAACAGTTTAGATCGTTTGCCACGGATAGCGAATAAGTCTACGACCACTTGATTCAGCCCGCTCAATAAGCAACGAAGTACTTTGCTTCAAAGCGCAAGGTGTGATGATGAACGCCGCCAAATCTTAGAACTCGCACAGGTCAGAACATAGAGTAGACATTCACCGAGACCCCAGAGTAATAATGTCTATTCAACTTCATAATCGACAAGTGCAACAGCAGTCAAGCAATTCGAAAATCTGGAAGACTACCCATTTGAAAGCCTCGGAGTGCTTCATTTTAGAGCTGAGATACTTGATAAAATTATTTGCGGTAACGAGGGATAAAGCGTAAACAATAAACCGGACAGCTGCCCCATTATTAGTTTCAATGATCTGCGAGTAATCGTTTCGAAAAGCCCTTGAAGTTCCGCTTCGATATCACTGAAACTGAATAAAGGTTCAACAGATTAAACAGATAATCAACAAATCCCGCTACTTCAAAAAGAAAGTAACCAATATCCCATGAAGAAGCAATTGATGATGCCAAAACTAAGAAGATTGTTGGCTGTAAAGAGATCGGATTTGTTAGCAGTGGCGAAAAAAATTAAAGGAGTCAAGTTCCAACGTCGTTAGTAGACCTCAAAATCCGGTTAAGTGACTATCACTCCATCAAGTGATGGACAATTTCAACAAGTAACCATTTCAGGAGAATCGACATTTAAGTGGGAATCACCAATGACACAGGGACTTGCAATTCAATTCAAACGGCCCTATGATCCAAAAGATGAGCCCTTTAATAGAACATTGTTAAGTCCACCCATGAAATTGATCTACTCAACTGCAATGAGTAAAACCACGAAACAGGAAGAAATATGGAATTGAAATAACAATTTACCGACTTACCAGCACCACAAAACCAGGATATCACCAGTGAGCCCACCGCGGGACGAAATCGGAAACAGGACTTTATTTTGTTAAAACTTGGAGAGTTAATGTTTAAATGTTGATTCTACACGCACAGGAAATAATAAGGAGGCAGAGGCAAGTGGAAATACTTGGAAACAGTGGCAAGAAGAAAGTTGATAAAAAACCAAGGAGATACGAGCAGACAAACGAGAGATAGACACCGAAATTGAGACATAAACTCAGGAGAGGAGAGAAGGGGATTGGACTCGACCCGACTGGAGCGGATTTGTCTGGAACCTATATGAGGAGACAAACCGGGAATTACGCAAAAACCGGAAAACTGGAAACATTAGACATCCTCCTCAATCCCATAGAGAAATAGGGTGGGAAATCGCACAAAAGCGTGGAAGACGAAGGCGATGATCGGAATGAAGAACACAGAGAGTGAAGTTAGTTTCTCTTAACTTACCTTTCAAGTCGGAACACGGCCAAAACGCAGGCTTACTATAAAGGAAAAAAGGTGACATTTGGTTTCCCTTTTTCTATGACTACACTGAAGAATTAGGAGGCAATACTCATGACCGACCCCAGTATAAAGTTAATGTTTAGTTACGACCCTCAATTACGATAGCATAACCTCTGCAGTTTGCTAGAGCATCGTCATCAGTTGGAAATAGTTCCAAAAAATCCCCGATTTCCTCTGCCAACTAATCTAATAACAATCAGAGGGCGTAAAAAAGGAGCAACGAGGATAGAGAATGATATTCAGTGCCACTGACATGGTCCCAATCACAGACCATGCACCTGACAGAAGATTCCAGCTGTGGCGACCTGGCTCAAGGCAGCTGTCAATGCACGAAACGCCATCTTGAATAACAAATGGGTAGAAGACAGTCATCCACTAAGGGCATCTTTATTTTTCAGAGCAACCCTCGAACTCTGACAGGCAGATGCGCATTACAACAGCCATGCTAAAAGGTTATGCCACAACTACTAAAAATATTCCAATCATTCAAAACAAGAAATGGCCCGGAGATAAGCATTTCAGGACCAATAATGAGATCTGGGTAGGCTCACAATTCTACAATGAATCTACCTTCTGTAAACAAATCAAAGAACTACTTAGAGCGCAGTAGTGAGCTCACCCGTCTTATATACATGCGATCAGCTTCCGGTCGACTCAGACTCCCAGCACCGCGAGAACCAGGTTGTCGAGAGACATCCCCGCCACCAGCCATTTGCTGGTGACGATAACCACGTGAACCGCCCACATCACCACGAAAACGAGATCTCGAGTCGTAGTTAGGTGGACGGCGAGACTGCATGTCTACAGCGCCACGTTCACCTAATTGGGGAAGAGGTCAAGGATTTTGATAAGGCCGCAGTACCAATAAATACGCGGCCACGAAAAACGATAAAGATTAATGCTGATACAACTGCTATGATGCATCGTTCACCACCTTAGTACTTGCAGGAAACGTTGCTCAATTCAAATACGCAAAAATCAATGGAAAAGGAGTTGCGAAGGGGCTACTGCACGCCTCGATGCGGGTTGAATGGCAACTGCCAGAAAAAAACATCAAATCGAGGTCCAACTTTTGTCCAAATAAAAAAATAGGTGCAAGCAAAACCAGTTTAAAAGTAGGCGGCTCTAGTACTACTACTCAGTTTCGAACAATAAAATCAAGAACATGAGGATAGACATGGCCGAGAGCATTTCCAAGCAGGCAAGAGGTAAGACCAGGAGGGACTGCATCTACTCAAAACTCCACGAAATGCAAGTCTTTTGAGAGCTACAAATTACCAAACGTCAAATTGAAATTACCAGATGCACTTCAAGTCGTGTTGTACCCGAAAAATATCAACAGTGTGAGGCAGATAAAGCAAGAAATATCGCATTCGAGTGGTCTAACTACGACAACCGATCCGGAAGTAAAGCAACCCGATATAGCTGTTGCAACTCAAGTGATGGAATGGCGTTATTAACGGCGGAACGACACAATCGTCCTTACCACCATAGGGGTCTCCGTTCGTAACTTGAGAATTGACCATCCCGCCCATACCAGAATAAGGAGGGATTCCAAGTGCATCCTACAAAAAATCAAGGCCATAGTCAACTTATTACACAACGCCAAAAAATGGATAAACGGGTTTGACCAAAGCCACACCTAAGAGCACAAGACGAGATGAAAAATTTGATTGCGGGACCAACTTAATAATGTGAAATTGCATTTCTATTAGTGGGAAAGTGGTCAACATAGTCCCTTAGATAAGTCAAATAATTCCACGCAATAAATCCCACTCCAACTTATTTCGAGCCGCACTAGACATACTCTATTGAGACCAAGAGCAGAGATAGCTTGAGCGATTTGGTCTTGTGACATTCCACCAGCAGCGGCCGCCATTAGCAGCTGTTGAATGGTTGCATTAGGGTCGCGCGAGCGGTCACCGGTGCTATTGTAGCCTCCTTAAGGGGAAATAAACGACCTGAATTAGCAATCCGGCTTCTAAAAGAGTAACACCTATAGCAATGTTCTCTCTAGAGCAACAAGAGAGGGAACAAGCATACAATTAAGCCAACTAATCGCAGAATCTTCCCACCCAGCTCGTTATCAATAAGCTAAAAGCTTTACTATTCCTGCGCAAAAAAGCTGTACGGAGGGGTAGATTGACCAAATTTGTCAAGGTGCTGCTGCCAAACCCCATCTAAGATGGATATTTTAACTCACCCATTATCTGACCCAACTGGTTCATTCCACCAGCCGTGCCCCCAGCCATAGGCTGAAAACTACCACCACCGCCACCAGCGCCACCACCAGCAGAAGCGGCACCCAAAAGGCTCCCAATGATTTCTTGAGGAGGTGGTGGAGGCATACCTCTTCCAGGTCCCATCCCACCCCCGGCACCACCTCCACCAATCAATGCAGCCATCGCGGCGGCAATCGATGGAGCCGCTCCCGATGCTTGCTGCGGTTGCTGAGATTGAGGAGGAGGTTGGTGTGATGGTGGCTGCAGTTGGGATTGTTGATGCGGTGGAGGAGGAGGCGGAGGTGGGGGCATGAAAGCACCACCACCACCTCCATAAGAAATACCAGGATTACCACCACCAATATTATTGTTGTTATTACTATTGTTGTTGTTGCTGTTAAAGTGAGCCATGAAACTAGCAACTGCGGCAGCACCCTGCGGAGTGGGAGGGAAGATTGGAAGATGAGGTGGAGCGTGACTGCCGTCGCGATCTATTTTCACACGGATTGGACGATCATTAATAGTCTAGAAACAAAATAGAGTGATTGGATGATCAAAACAAGTCGTTCCAACAATGGAAACAAGAACTAGAATGATTATGTTCTAATTATCGAGGAAGCTGACAGTAGTATTATGGCAAGAGAAGGACTTGATCTACGAACATCATTACATCATAGGTACTTAGTCGACGACAGCAAGCAGTACTCATAGCATTCCACATAACACAATCCAGCGCTTTCTCATAGGCACCAACGATCCCAAAATTCCATTCAAATCAAACTTAGCAATGAAGAAAACGCTTATATTCAACAGGTTGGCTTCGAATTTTGGTTTCATGTCGCTTGACAATACAAAACAATATTTGTAACGGTTGTAAAGACCGAAGACGAGTATTTATAACCCATCTGTGTAAAAGATAGTTTAATCTAGCACAAGGTATGACAATGCACTCTTACCTGAAAAAATCACACGGCAAACTAATCATCCCCACACTTCGAAACACTGAGAGCGTGATATTTACTGCAAGCGGCGTGGTCGAAAAATGGCCAAAGACCAGTCTCAACAATGAGTTACAACGAGGGAAGAATAGAAGCAAAACTACGCATAACTAGCGGAGACAAGACGCTTTAAATCATACTATATAACTTGCATAACCAGAATGAAACTCGACGAGACGCTTCCCAACAATAGGGCAAAATCTAGACGAGACTCCCTAGGTCCAGGTTTGGAAACAAAAATATACTACCCTAATCACAATTTCCGCCCTCAATCACCAGCTGCAAAAACTCGCCAAGAAGTGCACATTTAATCAAGCTTCCGCATAGTTCTATAGGCGCGATAAAACGAAGTGCAGATGAACCACAATATGTTAGCAACATTTACGAAAAGTAAACAAAGTACAACAGAAACAAATAAAACAAGTAAATATGGCCTTCAAAGTTAATAAAACGCGTTACTTTTGCATGACCGTCTCACCTGTCCATTAAACATCGACCAAGCCAGAAGCGCCTCATAAGGATGTTCGAATCTTACTACGGCAACACCCTTTGAACGACCCTCATCGTCCTGCTTAACGCTAGCATGAATCACTCTTCCCGCAATTTTGAAGATGTCCTTGATTTTTCTCCAGTCCACTGCATAGTCAAGATTACTTATGTACAACGAATCAGTGATAGGCCCTCGTACGCCCATTCCTTCCAGCACGGTGGGTGTCAAATTCGCAACACCAGGAACGGGGGTACCCGCATTCCCACGCGACTGTGGAGGCATTCCGGGTCCAGCATTGGGCGGTATCATTGCTCCTCCAACGTCCATTGTTGGATTCGATGGACCATCGAATTCCATGCTAGCCATGCGTTCCTGATCACGCAGAGTCTCTTCTCGCACAATTATACGACGGTCACCGATCTCGAAACGATGCATCTTTTCTATAGCCTTTTCAGCGCCTTCAATAGACTTGAATTCCATCAGACCCATACCGTTTGGACGACCATTAGATTTCATTAGTCGCAAATAGCCCGTAAATCCGAGTTGATCACGGAAAATTTGCTTCAACTTGTTCCAGGTAACGTGATAAGGGATGTTGGCAATTACGACACGGCGTGAGGTTACCTTGACGCGACGTGGAGAATGACTTCGAGAACGAGACCGCGACCTGAAGATTGACAACCAAGAGTGCATATTTAAAACAGTAAAATAAGACAAAGCCGGCAAAAACCCACTGTAAACCACGCCAAATGTCGTGCTGTGGAGACAAAACTAAGTATGCATTCGCAAGAAAGCGACAGCTTATCCTTCAACTGTCCTTCGTTCAAAAGGCATTCTGAGACAATCAAATGCATGTAAAGAGGATCAAAAAACATCAGTCAACCAGAGATAACGCACCGATTCCCACCATTAGCACTGGCTTTGCGTTCCATAGACGGAGACCTCATTACCAAATCCTCAAAGGCAAAATGGTCGACGCTAGCAGAATAGCAAAACAAAATTCCTCTCTTTATATAGTCCCTATTAGGACAAAGTAGAGTGCTATAATTAAGATGATGATGATACATACCTATTATTGTTTTAAAACTTCTTTAAATCAGTGCTTTATTCTTTGTTACAAATTAGGTCGTTGGATTTTTATTAAATGCATGTGTTTGAGTAGCGTATTTGCCTATCTATCAGAATCATAAATTGTTTAGAGATGGAATTTTTAATGCAATTTTAAATTACAGCCTATCCTGAACAGTACAGAATGTTTTTTCCACATTAACTACATATATCCTGGCAAAAAGAAGAGGAATGATCCTTTAACACGCCTATGGGCCTGCCTACTTGGCTGGGCGACATGGTTCTTCACATGACTATAACCAAGGTGGGCAGTTGACTACGGGCTTTACACTGTTGATCTGCTCGTCTGGCTGAGATATGTCTGCAACTCGTTAAGCCTTTGGCATACTTTACTAAAGAATGAATATAAGTAGCTGTAGGGCCTGCCTGCCTAGCCTCAGGCCTCTGAACCTTGGACGTCAGGAAAGTGTTAGTTGAGGAAGTTTTATTCGACACCATGTACAGGGGGAAAGTAAATGGAGGAGAATTGATGAAGGACAAAATGATATCAATACAAGAAAGCAAATTCTCATTTCTCATACGCTGTAGTCGTGTTCGAATTAATTTCCCGCCTCTCCTTTTTAAAGGCAAACTTATGCTTACCAGTATAAATCACGATAGCATCATAATTCGTTTTGTTAAAGACACGAATTTTGGACTTTGGATTCACATTATTTTGATGCATGCGTCACTTCAGTGACAATAATTATGCGTGAACAAGAACTCTGAGTTTTCGAAGACGCCTTATTATATTGGTCATAGTCGTTCTGAATTTTATGCTTGCTGTGAATCTCCTGCTGTTGCTTTTTTACCTGATAAGAGACTTAGTAATGTCCGTACTATGGAATTCAGGGGTGTGAAAGGTACACATAGAATTTTTCACTCTCCTACTACAAAGAGCAGTTGTTTTATTCTTAAAGTTGACCTCTACTTACTCCCTTTTTATGAAGCCATCCTCATCTGACATCGCTAGCATCCACGATTAGCTTTTATGAACTTCCCTTGGTTCTTCAGCACAGTATTGCTTCTATGTGGGAGCACATTGTTAACAGTACATTACATTTAACTGTTTGCTAAATCTTCGCGCATTTTTACAAAATTATCAGCAAATCAGGGCTCCTTGCCCAGAAAGTGAGTTAAAATGCCCCGTTAAGTCCATCTGTAATCCTTAAGAACACGCAAGGTCTTCTATTTACCATCACCTTCACCTTTCTTCATTTCACTCTCCCACCAATGTCAGACGGTTTAGCAGACAGGAGTATCCACGACAAAGAGGCGTAAACATCTCTTAAAGAAGTAGTCAACTCATCCACTCACGCAAAAAAAGATTCCTAAAAGCAGCCCTTAAATACTCAATTTAGCTAATTGAGAGCGATAAAATTTGTCGGTCATTTGAGTGTTGCCAAAATAGTCAACATGGGGTTATTAATTACCTTTAGGTATACAATTTCGTTTAAAAGTGAGGTTTGGCATTCAAGGCGCTTAGAGGATTCAAATGGCCTTGAGATTGTCTGTTTTGAGGACAGAATTTAACTTCATTCCTAGGTATTTGAAAGTGGTGCAACATTTGATGCCTGTACTTGGACTGGCTCCTTAATTGCACTCCAACAGCCCCATTCTCTTGGTATTGAGGACTTACGCACTGATCACCAACACGTCAGTTCTCTGTAATGGTCAAGGTACATAATCAAACATAGCCTTGTTTAAAAATCTCAGGGCAACTAAACAAAGGACGTCAATTGTAGAACTCGCTGACCCCCTTAACAATCTTGGTTTATCACCATCGTAGCAGTACAATTTCATCAAAGACCGCGGTCACTCCAGTGCTTGGGTTTGTACCAATCGATCACTCACGTTTGTGGTCAGAAAGTTTGCAGAATATAAGAAATCGTTGGCTTAAATTACCACCGACTCGTCGGAACCACAAACTTTACAGTGTGCCAAACCTGTGTGATCGTAAAAGCGGACATCCGTTGTGCAGCGTGGCAGTGCCTTGATAACCAAAAATTTAAGTTCCACACGCGCAATTTATGCAAAAGCTGCACAACACAAATCAGTCCACTTGTTTATGGCCCGCCAATTGCCCCGGCGCCGCGTATTAATTGGCGTCAATTGCAACGAAAGAAAAATCAATAATTTCGGTGAACTTCCGCTCTACCCATCACGCCCTGCCTTACCGCATGGCCAGCACCTTGAAGGCTTAATACGGACGGCAACGGTGACAACGTGTCACGAATATGACGCAGAGCCTCTAATTCGCACCTCTGCATTCTCATAGCACACATTCAAAAAATTCGTACAAATGAGGCATAAAACTTAGAATGGCCGTGGGAATTGGTGGATCTCATGCTAATGCGTGTGTTAATGGATCACAGTTACATTTATTATCTGATTAGGTTTTTTAATCACACTGGTGCGTCGAGATTTCGAGGCTTTTATCTCTTTGTTTCCTTAATTAGGTTACGAATGCATCTGAATTGGATGACCGCACTTAGTAAACTAGATTGTGAGCGTTTAAGTTTGCAAATAACAAGGAGAAATCTTCTACGGTTTCTTCACGTTGATTTTGAGGAGCTCGTCAGACGTGTTACATAGAGAGATCCATTTACTGAAGTTCAAATTCGATTATTGCAGACAGAATATATACTACTGAATTTCATTTCTTAATTAAGTAAACAAAATCAACATTGCTGAAATGGTTTGCCTTATGAGGCATCATTTAGTGTTGAGAATTGAACAGGATTGTGGTCCTCTTCCATCTACGAAAACGGCCTATCTGCCGCAAAATTGTGAATGATCTCTAGACTAACATAAAAGCATCCCCTTTAAGTTTAAGAGAGGGCTTTGTTAAAGACCACGCCTGAATGAATGCGTGGAAGCAGCTTTCATGAATTTTGTGTTAGCCTAATTTGCATTTTCCTTGGAAAGTGTTCGTAAACATCGCATCAAAAAAATGTACAATCATGCGCGATTCAACTGGTTGAATCTCATATTGCATCCTCGAGGCTGAGGTTGACTATTGCACATGACTCTACCATCTGTACTTGCCGAGCAATTCTCTCCAGCAATGCGATAAAACAGCCGTAAAAGTCATACCACTTTACCTACCGGAAGGGTGTATCAAATTTATGCCCTGACTAAGTCGGCAAGTTGGGAGAGTGATAGACTCCAAGGCGGCAAGCATGGTTGATACGGCCTAGCAGCGATTTGTCCACGGTAATGTATTAAAATGTACCCTTTCGATTCTTCATTCTAGGATTATCGCTACTTCCACCACTCTATTCGAAGCAGTTAAACAAAGTGGACTAAAATTCCGCATTTGAACGAATTGTTGCGTCTATACCAGAGTAAAGTTGTTATGTGAGACTCTGTGCTTACGGTAGCCAACCGTGACAACACGAATTTTACGCGCTGTTGGGTGTGTGTGGGTGTACGTGCTGTCAATCGATAATCGGAACGTGGATACACTGTGGCTCCGAACGCACCTCCAATTGGTTCAACCTGAGAGACTAAATTTTGCGTTCGTTGGCGTTTTTTTGTTGTTTTCACGTGTTTTGTGAACGGATTAACATGACATGACAGGCTTGATCACATTCTACTGGGGTCACTGCCACATATGGTAGCAATTTCAAAACACTTTTCCGAACGATGAAGAGTATGGCTTGGAACAGCTTCAATTTTATTCGAAGTATCTTACTTGTCGGGCCCTGGAAATGATGCGATCTGAAGAAGTTACGATAAAGCTACTTCACTTGACAAACTTTGGGCGAAGCTTCATTTAGGCCTCATTCATTCCATTTCTGTCCTTCCAAAATCCATCAGTCTCTACATTCTTCCTTCTATCAGTCGCGCATTCTTTCCCCGTCCTCCTACCTACTTCATAGCAATCTGTTCGTCGACTCCGTTTCTGCCACACTTGTTCTTCTAATGGGCGTTCTTTTCACCTTTCACGTTGCACTGGTGTCACTTTCGATCACCCATCAACCAGTTGATTCGTCCAACCCTCAATCCTTCCTTTGATCCAACAATTCCAAGCCCCTCATTTCCAAAAGTTCTACTTACTGGATGTTTCTGAGCCTCACAGTAATCCCTAATCCTCGGTCACCGAGCTTTACGGTTCGGATCGCCACAACAGCCAACTAACCTACTAAATGACTTGCAGACCCATCCGCATGAAGGTAGCTTCCGACCCTAAAGATATGCCTAAACAATCCTCTAGATCGGCCCAAATTC